GGCCCCCGAGGGGAATGGGGTGAGGGGGGCACCAGCAAGGAGGAAACGCGGGGAGGAGAGGTCGGAGAGGCGAGGGATGAGCGGGGGGCGATGGGGAAGAGCTGGATGTGTTGCCACGGACACGCCAGCCCTTTATCTGCCCTTCCAAGCTGCTCTCAACCCTCTTCCCCTCCTCACGGCTCAATGGCCCCTTGCGCTTGATGCTGAGGGCACTGCCTGGCTCTGAGGGCATCCAGGGGGAGACACCTCTGCCCTTGGTAACGGCACCGGGAGCCTGGGCAAAGCGCCGCTGGGTGACCACGGCAGAGCGTGGACGTGCAGGGATACAAGAGCCTGTGGGGATCAGGGAGGATGAGGGGTGTTCCTGGTCTTTACAAATGGAAAGTCAGCATCCCAGCCTTCCGTGGACTGGAAGGACCGTGGCGTTGAAATGGGGTAACTGGTAAAGGAGGAGTGTGGAAACCAAAGCGTGGGTGGCTTTGGTGGTGCAATAGAGACGCGTTGAGCGGACCTGCTTAATTTCGTTCCCATGCTCGTATGTTTCAGCTCTCCGAAAATGTAGTGAACAGAATGAAGGAATCCCATCAAAGTAAGAGAGAGATCCAGAGACCTCCCCGTGCGTCCAGTGGCGCATCTCAGCCCTCACCACCAGCAGAAGAGAAACCCAAATCTGCAGGTACTGTCAGACCCTGTGTCACCTTGTGACTGTTCTTAGGACTTACAGAACCCCAGCCTGGTTTGGGTTGAAGGGACCTTAAAGCTCCTCCAGTTCCAACCCCTGCCATGGGCAGGGACATCTTCCACTAGAGCAGGTTGCTCCAAGCCCCTGTGTCCAACCTGGCCTTGAACACTGCCAGGGATGGGGCAGCCACAGCTTCTCTGGGCACCCTGTGCCAGCGCCTCAGCACCCTCACAGGGAAGAGCTTCTGCCTTAGATCCAACCTGAACTTCCACTGTTTCTGTTTAAAGCCATTCCCCCTTGTCCTATTACCACAGTCCCTGCAATAAGCAAGGCAGAACTTCTGTATTTAATCTTCAGTTCCTGGCAAGCTGCCTCGTCTCCTTCGCATGCCCAGGGAGTGTGTTGTGGATGGGTGGGGAAAATGCAGCTTTTTCTTCCTTGGAAAGAAGCTCGCAGGGAAGGATGGGCTGTCTAAGCACCGCTTGCCAGGCGGGTGATGAGAACTTGATTTCTGAACTTATCTTTACAGGTCAGAAAACTGTTTGATTACTGTTGGCTCTCAAACGCACTTTGTTGACACGTTGTCCACGTGGGTTTGTTTGAGGCATCCAGACTAACCTGAAGATAGGGAACCAGCACTTGGCTTTTAGAGCTGTGTTTGCTGGTAGCCTGTGTCTTTCCTGAAAGTGGGTTCAGCTGCATGGATGGCCTGAACTCCATCAAATAATCTCATCTCCACTTGTGGGATCCCTTGTAATCACGAGGGAAGCAGGAGGTCAAGGGGAAGACAATAGAGCTAGAGGAAGGAAATGGAAAGTAGGTCTGAACCCATGCTTATGTTTCAGTACAAACCAGGGTTTGAGGAGTTAACATCCTTACCTAGAAGCTCCTGTAGCACGCCTTGTCCAGGGTGCCTGGTGAAGACGATGCTGTCAGTGCCTCTTTGTGTCATAATTCAAACTTAGATTTTCTGGAGGCTTTTCCAGGTGTGGTGTTGTTTTCTCTCGATGGGATAACACTCGTGTGAAGTTCTCATCAAACTGTTCATGGTGTGATGAAGGACTGTGTTTTGTAGTACAGTTGTCACAGGTTTCTATCCTCCTTTCTAGGAACCCAGCCACCAGTGGCAAGTGACTCTGGTCAGAATGCTTCTGCTGCAAAGCAGGAACTGCACAGGAGGTGAGGTGAAGTTCTTGAAAACAACAAGAGTTAAACTCCTTTTGTTCTCTCTCTGTTTTGCTTCAGTCCAAGCACAATGACTGTATGTTTTAATGCCAGTGAATCTCCTTGTAAGCCTTTTTCAGTTAAGGGCCATGGAACACAGGGTTTGTTTTTTTTTTTTTTTAGGGCAGCCATCCCTTAGCCAAAAGGAGCAGTCAGGGGAGCTGGGGGCAACTGGGTGGTGGTTGGAGAAACAGGGAGGACCAGTGTAATGAGTTGGTAACTACAGAAGACTTGTGTGTGATGTGCATTGCAAGACCAATACTGCATGAACTTGAGTACAGCTGCCTTTTCTGGGGCAAAAGAAGGAGTCTAATATTTCCCTTAGGGATTTTGGAATCTCAAATACGGTAATTGGTTTAATCCATTTTATATCTAAATAATCAGATTCATCTTGATGTGTCTGATTTTGTTCCCCTCCTTTTCCTAGACTGGGTGTCTAAAGACCTTGGCAAGTTAGAGGCATGAGAAAAGAGAGGCTGAGGGAGCTGCACTGGCTTAGTTTGGTGAAGAAGAAGCCTAATTGTTTTAACTTCCTAAACTAGTAAAAGAGAGACAGTGCCAGACTCTTCTCAGAGGTTCACACTGAAAGGACAAGAGACGAGGGGCACAGATCACAGCAAGGAAGTTCTGTCTGGCTATGGCGTGACCCTGACACTCGGTGCAGTGAAGCACTCCATTAATCTCTTCGCTTGCATGTGGAATTCCCAAGGCTGTTGCATTACACAAGCTAAGCCATGACCCTGTTGCCAGAAGCCTCCTGATCACCCCTCTGTTTGCTTTGGTGCTCCTGCAGGTATGAGCAAGAGCAGGCGCTGGTCCAGGAGGAGCTGCTCCGGCTGGCCAAGAGAGAAAAGGAAGCAGCCAGTGCTGCCCTTCAGCGGGAGAGGGCCAGCGCCCATGAGGAGAGGCAGCGGGTAGCCCAGATGGTGAGTAACAAAAACCCCTCTATGTTTCCATGCAGGACAGGCTGAAGTATCTCTACTTGAGCAGATTCATTACATGTCACTTGGGTGATGAGCTTAGAAACTTAATTTATGCTGGAACACTCATCACCTCCTCATTCCATTCATCACGTAACGCTTGGCTTACAGTGTAGCTGGCAGGCTACGCTTGCAGCATGTCATGCAGCGATGCTAAGGCCAAGCTTGCAGGGAAAGGCATGAGCAGTGACTGCTGGGTTGTCAGTGGTGACTAATGTTCGCATGATAGTACCTTGTATTGTTTTAAGTGCTAACATTCCTGTGGCAGTGGTGTGCTGCCTGTAAGCGATGCAGAGTCTTGCTGGAGCTGCCACTTTAGTGACCTGTAGTGGTGTGAGGTGCTGGGGTGTGACGTTGGGGTGGGACTCTGCTTGCCCCAGTGAGATCAAACATCCCCCATTTAGACCGGAATGTTGGAACTTCATTCAGAGAACTACACTAATTCTCCTTGCCTGGTACATACTGAAAGGATGGTTTAGGGAGAGGACAGACTTGAGTAATGATGGTCTTTATTGCGTTCTTCCATCCTACACATCTGTTGCATGCACTTGATTTAAATGAAGAATCCTTTGAGCATGTTTTTTCTATATGTATTTCCCACCTGTATTACCCTTGCAACTTCCGTTCTGCAGCTTGGGGGCTTTGCAGCAGGAGGCTGTATTTTCAACCTTAGGACATTGTCCTGAATTTACAGTCCTGACATTGCTTCCCATACATTGGTTTGTGGGTTTGGACCCATTGGTGCTTTTTGACTCCCTGATAACGTTTGTATGTGGTTGGATTGGGAACCTCTGAACCTGCTCTCCTGGATATAGCCTGGGCTTGGCTGCTGTGTTGTGGGAAATTTCCTCGTGTACCCTGCCCGTGGGAAGGTGCAGGATTGCTGAGCTTCAGGATAGTGCTGTCTGAGGCAGGCGACTGCCTTCCTGTGCATAGGACATCTGGGTCAGCAGATGCAGCATTAACTCTCTTTCCACTAGAAAGAGAATATTCTCTTTATGAATGCAGTTAATGGAGTTTTGTAAAGGAGGGAGGGAGGATGAACTTACTGTCTCATCTAAAGATGTGGCCTGGCTCAGTAGTAGAGCTCTGTCCTCTTGCAGTGAGGTGTTGAGTAACCCTGGGGAGCTGTGACTAGCAGAGTCAGGCAATGCTTGTGAAGTCCTCTAAAATGAGTTGGGACCTGGCTGCTAACATAGAAAACCTCTTCAATTACCTGGATTAGCTTTTAACCCTGCAGTGTCACATACCCAGATACTGCAGACTTGATGCTCTGCAAAGATCTGATCAGGTTCTCCTTGTGTAACCCAAAGAAGATAAATAGTGACCATGGAGCGTTACCCAGAACATGATGCAAGAATGAGAAACTCTTAAATTTTATTGCTCTTAAACTACCTCTTGATCAGTCATAAATTCAAGATCCTTAAAAATTGAATAGTTTGGCCTGTCCTTGCAGAGGTGGGGTCAAAGTCATTGTCTGTTGGCTGCCTGATGCCTTACTAAGCAGGAGCTGTTTCTGACAGCCTTTTAAATTATTGGGATCCCTATCAGACCTGCTTCATCTCAGCTGTGGTTTCCTTTTGGGCATGGTTACCTTGTTGTATTGACTTAATCCTACTCAAATCTTACCTGTCCTTTGTCTTCCAGTATTGTTTTCTACCTTTACTTGGACAAGGCTTCAATGTGTTTCTTGGTTCTTTCTGCTTTTTAGCCCCAGCATCTGAGGCAGACAATGGTGTGAGCTGCTCTTTCATCTCTTCTGTGTCATTCTTCTCTTTCAGGTAGGAGATAGTAGTGAAGCTCTGGGATCCTAGTGCTAGCCCAGGTGCACATGGCATTGGAAATTAGCTACTTAGATTAAAGAGAACAACTCCCAGGTGATGGTGGTTGTGACTTAATGGCGAAGCCAGAATAAAGGGGGTGACTCCCATGAAAGAAAGAAATGGATAACTTGCTTCCAGCAGCACTTGGGTTAGTGAAGGCTGAGAATCGTGCCAAGTCCAATTAGAAAGGTTTGTTTTATTAATTTCCTTATTTAATATTTGCAGTAAGATCTTGAGCTGTGCCCTGAACAGCTCAATAGTTCGGTGATCAGTAGCCTTCTCCTGTACAATTGTCTCCAGTGGCGCTGCAATATTCTCCTTTAACCTCCCCATTTGCAGACCATAAATCCAGGTGTGAAGGCTGTATTTTGAGACAATTTCATTTTGATTGTGCTGAATGTCACTTGTCATTTAATCTGTTCTTCATGAGTTCTGTTCCCTGGTTTTTATTCTTGGCAGTGTTGCTCTGAAGCACTTCTGTAGTCTCGCCCATATAGTACACATTCCTGAGGAGAGTGTGGACAGAACTAACCCTTTGCTCTCAGCTTCTGGGGCCAAATACTTCCTCATTTATGGGGTAGGGTGCAGATTAAAACCTGTTGTTGTTTTTTTGGGTGGTTTATATGTTGGTTTTGTTTGGTTTTATTCTTGAAGTGGTTCATTTGTTACAAGAGGGATTTGCAGTTAAGTACCTGTGTCCTGCTCTACATTTTTGTCTTGATCTCCCTTGGATTTTCATGGCTTTGAAGAAGCTTCTAGATAGGTTTTGAGTAAAACTTCTTAAGGTTTTAGTTTTAAGCAGCAAACCAGCTCTGTGAGTACAAACACTACAGTATTCACCTGGAGTGACTATGGCTCTTGGTTAACCAGGGGGGACCAGCTCACATGGAAGCTGAGCTGCTGCAGAGCAGCCGTCACCAACTGCTATTAGAGCTGCAGTGTGTGTTTGTGCAGGCTCGTGGTGCTGACTGGGCTCTCTGAAGAGTTTAATGCTGTGGGTACTTCCGACACAACCAGGGTTGTATGGACAGTACTTCACAGCAGGGCCCGGGCTGTTTGACTAATGCTTGGAGCATGCCTTGAGTCCCTGTGAAATACCCAGGAATTAGTACAGCTTTCTTGAAATCCTGTTTTAGTTCTAGCACAAGGAACTTCCCAAGTTGCCACAGTCGAGTTGTTTAATTGCTTCACTGTGTTGTGAATGGTCTCGCCTCTCCCCGGGACCAGGACTCTTTCCTTTTTCATTTCCAATTAATCAAAACCTCTCAACTTCTCACTTCTTTTGGCTTTCTTTTTTCCCCGTCTTCTTCCCAACAAAGGAAACTTTGCAAGCAAAGCTGCTCTTTCTTCTCCTCCTGCCTTTGTAGTCTCCTCAGGCTGAGCAGCATGTGCAGCAGATGCAGCACGGGCCTCTTGGAGCTGGTGTCTCACTGCCTGATGGGTTTTGCTGAAACCTTTGAGACAAATCAATGTGGAATGGGGCTGGATAAAAGCAGGAGCTGGGGGGGGCGGCAATAAACGCGATTAAGCGAAGACATCTCATTACTACTCTAGAAAGGGAGGATTAGAACTTAGAAAATAGGAGGATCTCATTTAGGGGCCATGTGCTCCTGTGTTATCAGGACAGAGGGAGAGCAAATAGAATAAATGAAATTAATACTTTGAAAAGAAGCATTACCCGGATTTGAGAATTGAACTAATATGATTTGTGCAAAGCCCTGAAGTTCTTATCTCCCCATTTAGTACCCCGAGGATAATGGCTTTGTCAGTTATTGACCAAAAGTCCTCCTCTTCCTTCTCACTTTGAGAGAATGAATTCAGAAATGGGGCAGTGGTAGGACAAACTTTGCTCCGAGATGAGCTTTTTCAGACAAGACCAATGGGCACTGGTTGCTGTATGAGCACAGACAGGACACAGAATTCCTAAGTTGCTTGAAAGTGTTTCTTCAGCCATCAGTGATGGATGCTCACTGTTCCCAGGGATCCTGGCCATGCCTTGGTCCCTGCCATGCAACCTTTGCTTCCTGGTGGCCCCAGCACTGTGCTGTTGGGATGAGCGTGGTCTGGCATATAAGCACGTGAGGGAATACTCACAAGGATTTGGGTCTCTCTCGTGTTACTCCAGTAGCTGATAATAATTGGTCATAGAGTGTTGAATTCTTTCTTGCTCCTCAGAGCCTCTCACCGTTTGTTCATTCAGGAGAGAAGAGCTGAAGGAGGAAGCATGACTGAAAGTGCCTTCAGTCAGGGCAGTGGGCTTTGATATTGGTGTCGCCCTGCGAATGGGGGATTCTGAACTGTTGGGCTTTGCCTGGGGCATACTTTGGACATTTCCACTCTTGGTTTAGTGTGTATTGGTCTGTTGATGTTTTAACTGGTATGTTTCTATTCCATTTCACAGCATGCGGAGGTAAAAATACTGAAAGCAACATAAACATCCCATTGATGCAAAGGAGGAGCACTTTGGTGGTAGTAGGGCAGTGCTCAGGTGGAGTAGGGTTCTCTTTCTGGCCCTTTTGGGGTGAAGGAATGATCCATTTGGCCCATTCATGGCCAGTTTTTGTTACATTTCTGGTCATTGGTGAAGCTTCAGGTCATTCTTGCCTCAGTTTTCACTGTGAATTGCTCACTGTTGTTGAGCAGCATCAGCTGTAGATGCAGCTGAGCTGATACTGAAGATGGCTTTAGAAATGGTGCTGAACGTGGTTTAGCTTTGCTAATGCTTTAATTTACCTGGTGATAAGATGGGGATCAGCTTCATCCTGGCAGATTAACCACAGGTGGGCATCTCTTGATTAGACTGGGGTTTTGTTGTGGGTAATCTCCTATCGTTGTGACAAGCTGGAGTGGCTGTCTGGGGTCCAGACAGTGCCATGGGTTTGAAACTGCAGCAGTGAGGTGACACTGTTCTGGAGGTCAGGCCTCTGCCCTCAAAGCTTGATACTTTTTCCTCTCTGTTTGAGTTGGTGCAATAGAAGGTGTTGTCTCTGAGAGCTTTGCATTGTGGTTTGGCCACTGCTCACATCACGGCTGGTTTTGTTGGTCCTCTTTGCAGCTCCCTAAACCCCCTCCTCTTTCTGCAGTTGCAAGCCTTTGCAGGAGATAGGTTGGCTCTGGGAGGAG